TAGCTGAACTGCTTAACAATAGAGTCAAAATGTAGTTCTCAGTTACACGAGGCCACGTGCTCATCGATACAGTATCATAAAATGAATGCCATTGCAATTCCAGTGCCTTTCTTGTAAAAAAAAACTAAATAAAATAAAAGATAACACTTTCTCAAACAGATTACTTTTTATGTCAAAATAAACATTTTAATCTAAATGTCTAATTTAAATGCTTTTTTTTTTTGCAAGAAAAAAATGAACGTGTATTCTCACAATTACTACATTTTAATGGAAAAAGATACTTAAACAACTTGATTCTCATAAAACTGAAAATTTATTTTAAATAAATGTTTTTATTATCTAGTAATTTTAGGTTTTTGTCCCCCCCCCAAACCCCCCTCAAAAAAATCTAACTTAAAAAAAAAAATTATCCACCTATTTTGTTAATGAATGCTTTTCCAACTTTGTTTAAAATTAAAGGAAATTTAATTGTTAACAGCAAAATTACACATTTCCTCAAAAAGAAAAAAACTTTTAATGAAAAAAATACAACATTGTGTGTCAAAAATGTTATTTTTTTTCTCCTCAAAAAATAGAACTTTAAAAACTCATTTTTATATTTGAAAAAAGTGACAAATTCAGTTTCATTAAGACTGCATCTTTTTACCACATGTTTTTTCTCAAAATTAACCGACTTTCAACAACGATTATCTTCTTGAAAATTCTAGACACTTTTCTCGAAAAAAATCCAATGTTATTCTCATAAGACTACACATTTGAAAAACATGGATTAATTAATTACTGCGACCGGCTATGAAAATGACTTTTTTTTCTGGAAAAAGAGATAAAATTACTTTTCCTTATTCCAAAATATCCCACATAGCTTTAGTTTTGGAATCTGATTTTATGGTACTTGAATACGACATCCTAATAAAAGGACCACATCTGTCCTTGAAGACGCATGTTTCGAAACAGCCCTTAAACAAGTTGAAGCGGAGCATCTCCCGCCCCATCAAGGCGCGTTTACGACGACACGGCTGAGTGCAAAGCACTTACTCGGCTCTGGCTCGCATCCTCCGTGTGGAGTGCGAATGAGATGCCGGAGCAGCCGAGCCTGAGAGGGACCCACGTCAGCTGGGAAAAAGATTTATAAGCAGCAGCGATGTGTTTATTACCTCTACCATGAGAACATGAGATGAGATTGGAACATGTGGCTGGAAGAAACAATCTCCTGTGTATCTCCCGAAACAGCATCAAGCATTTTGGCTCAAATTGTTTGGCACCGCAACATGCATGGCAAACCTTTGTGGGGCACATTCTATTTTTGAAAATCTGTAAAATAGTTCAATAATTTCAATTGTAAACTACTGTATATTTGACAAAAATGACAGTTATGACATAATGAAAACAAACTCTTTTTTTTGCCACATTTGTAAATTTCACTTCAATTGGCATTGTGCATCTCCTTTTGGTGTGCGCATCCTGGGACATATGGCTATATATATGTTGCTGGTCAAAACTCCAAGCTGCAGAAATATTACTTTATCTCTGCAGAGGATAAAGAATGCATGCCTATAAGTGTTGTTACATCGTGCGTATTCAAATCTGCTTTGTGAGCTTCTCTATGGTATTTTGCATGTGCGTTCGGAATAAGACTGTCAATAAAAGTTGCAGCCTCTTCTTTGAAGAATTATTCACTGTCTGCCAAACTGGTGATTGTTCTAAAGTACTGCCACCATATATTGCTTGTATCTTGATTTTTTTTTTTTTGGGTCACAATTCACAATAATTTAGTCATTACATTTAATGAACCTTTTATTGGCTAATATTTACGTGTTTTTATGTACATGTAAATTTTTTCTGAAGAACCCCCCCCCCAAAAAAAATTGCTTTTAACCACTTTTACTTAACATATGGTGGCTAAAACATATTGATTTCACACTTATGAAATAATGTAGACAGACATTCTGTTACAGATTCAAACAACTTGGGCTATACATGTGTTGACATGAAAGAAGACCTATTTTTTTTTTGCATTTTAAGTGGAAAAAGAAGTCAACCACTGTTACAAAAGTAAAAGGGAAAACCAATAAGATTCTAATTTAGCTTTGATAACAAAGGTGCTTCTTTAAAAAAAAAGCCAAATAAAAAGCAAAACACACTTGCAGCTAATCCTTTGATGCTACGACAAAGGAGGTGCGATTTCAGAGGCACCTTTTTTGCAACAGGAGGGAAACAACAAATTAGATCTCAAATGAGCTTTGATCTGAATCAAAACTAGACTCAAATGGGATAGCTGCCAGTATAAACAGAGTGAATTAGAGCAAAGCATTGTAAATGACGGAAATGCTCCTTCATTTTGCATCCCTCCTTTTGTGCGAAAGTGATTCTTTCACCCCCACCTCCCTATGGTCGCTGTGTCAACTTTGATTTAGTTTGTGTGCAGGTGTGTGTGTCGAGCTATTCATCTCCCGCCAGCCACCCTCAGTAATTACAATGGTCTCAGTTTCTCTCCTTGCCCTCATTAGTTTCCAGACCCAACACGGAAACCGTGTGTGTCTGCTTGTGTGTTCTCATCACTGTGCTTGATACGTGTGTGTGTGGCAATCAGCCTCCAGTCATTCGTATTTAGATGAGATTAGATAACCGAATTGGGGGATTTGCACTGATAGAAGCTCCGTTCATACATACACACATATACACCCACCCACACACACACAAACACACGCAGACACACACACGCACAGAAGAGAGACACCGGAGTCATTCTGATGCAAGGGAAGAACAAACACAGCAAAGTAGAAAAGGAGGGCATGAAGGAAGCGAGAGGAAAGAGCATCTGTAGTTAAGTAGAGAACAGACAACAGAGCAATCTTAGTTGCATTATTTAGTCACTCAAGACAGACCACTGGACAAGGGCAAAAATGACCATCCATCACCATACTCCGCTCACAAGCAATAACCAAAACTCCAACCTCTTGAAATTTTTTATGATCCATAAGTATCGTATAAGAAGTAAAAATTTGAAAACAATGGGGAAAAATCTTTTGAACAAGTTTGTATTTTAAGAATCCCTGAAAATTCCACAAATGACCTAAAAATGGCCCCTTAAAAACCCAAGAGTCTTTTTGAGCTCGGCTTCTTGAGACTGTTTTGTGGGTCGAGCCATTTATAGACACATCTATCAAATTTCGATTTATCGACACATCTACCAAATTTCACATTGCAAATGTCCAAAATATGCGGCCGCAAATCTGTTGACATGATTACAAAGTCAATCATGGAACTGCAGCCTCGGGATAGCCGTGCCTAGTAAATTCCTTGTTGCTAAGTCAAACTGGCTTTGGAAGCCGAATCTCCCAAAAAGTCCAAGGGCCGCTGCTGAGACAATTTTTAGATTCAACAAAATGCAGGATTTTGGTATTCGATCACATTAGCAATTAGTGTACCTAATAAATTGTCTGCTGCTGCATCTGTGTGTGTGTGTTGTATTATAATAAGTGTGTGATTTGACCCGTTACAGGGCCAATTGGTGATAAAGACCAATATCTCATATACCATCCATCATTAGAGTCTTCATATGTGTGCCCATGCCCGAGGGCGTGTGTCTGTGTGTGTGTGTGTGGGGGGGGGGGGGAGAAAGCACGCTAGACAAGTACACACAAGGTCCAAAGCATCTTAAACTCACTCACAGCGCGCATACAAGAGTGTGCTTGCACATGCGTGAGCTAAGTGCATGTGAAACAATGACCTCCAATTATATCCTTGTTATCAAGAATAGTGTTTTCCTGCGTGTGCGTATAAACATGTGTATACGTGTGTGCATGACAACACCCCTCTGGCCTTCTCCCGGGAAGCCAATTAGGAGGCAGCAGCCCACACTCCGCCCATCTCTGTTTCCGGGCAGAAATCATCAGAGACATAACGTCTTAACCATCGCCATCACCGTGACGACGCCAGGGTGCAGCGTGCGTGATGTATCGATGAGGAATATTAACTAAGGAGCTGCTACCACTGAAGTGTCTTCCGCACCGCTTGCCTGCCTTGTAAACACACCCACTCACTCCTATTTAAGCAAGGGACTTGATTAACACGACATTATCTGCTGACGCTGAAATGTCCTCCGCACCGCTTGCCTGCCTCAAATATACCTGCTCACTCCACTCACAATCAATCAACTCAACTGCATTCCAAACCACTTGTCTGCCTCACCTCCAGATCTCCTACTTACACTTGCAATAAACCATTTGACTGACACGACATCATCTATTTACGCTGTTTTCATCACCACCGCCGGCACACATGCCCTTGCTCCGCCTCCGCACCGCTTGCGTACCTTGACCGCACCCACTTGCTCAACTTGCAGTGAAGCATTTGTCCAGCACATCTTGTTTGCTTAATGTACTATCTGGTTATGCTAAGCAGACTTCCGTACCACTTGTCTGCCTCGCACACACCCACTTGTTCCACCTGTGTCACTGAAAAAAAACATTTGATAAACATGACATCATCTGTTTCGACCGTATTGTCTATAACCTCGTCCGTCTCTTGCTGTACAGAAATCCCAATATGACATTGATTTCCGGCGCTTTCAGTCGAAGAAGTGATGTTAGAGCACCCTGAAGGAGTATTATTGATCAAACTACAAATATTCTGGTGAGGCTGAGTCGCTAATACACATGACACTTTATTGTTCACTAACGCTAAACTCAGGCGTGACATGACTGGACGCTGCCACGCATGATGACGTCACGGTTTCATCCGAGCAGTTAACGAGGTATGAGATGACATCGCACTGGGAAATAAGCAGAAACACTGCGACCAATTGGATGTACGTAATGAGATTGGCGAGTGTGTGTGTGTGTGTGTGTGTGTGTGTGTGTGTGTGTGTGTGTATGGAAGCAGGACAATGTTGACAGGAAGCAGATGTCCATTCAAATACACACCCAGTGTAAATATGTGTATTTCTCTTTCTCTGTACAGCTGTTTATCCATTCACACATTGTGTAGGGTTGCCTTACCAGATTCAAACTCATGAGGGGCACGAGGCTTCAGCTGCCCTGAAACCAAAATACAGATATCCAATTACGATTATGTTTCAAATCATTAAAGAGCGTCCAAAAAAAAAAAAAGATTACATCATCTTATCTCATCACGCTGACATGTGACTGAACACAGCCTCCTTGCAGTAACATGATTAGGACTGTGTGCTCGTCTGATCGTTTGCCATCTTGCCATCCTTGAACGCACTTTGCACCGCATTGATGCTCGTTTGAAATTCGCCAAAGCGAATGTGTGTTATGACTTGGCACGCGTGAGAGTGTGTAGCCGGGTCCCCACAGAGGCAGATCGTAACAACAGATGAATGATTGCTCGAAATGGAGAAGAGGCCGACGTGCGTGGAATCGTATTGCAGGCTGCCTTTTGACAATATAATGTGTACTGTGTGCACAATTGCGTCCGTGTGTGTTGCTATACAAACAACAGAGAGAGAGAGAGAGAGAGAGAGAGAGAGAGAGAGAGAGAGAGAGAGAGAGAGAAAATGAGAATTTTGGATAACTGTATGCATCAGACTGCGCAAACACTTAGAAACGGGACGTTCGTGAGTTTGGCAGGGAAGAACAATGTAGAACAAGAAAGCGTCCCATTACTTTTGTTCACAGAAGAGCCATGTGCTCTTGTGTAACATATTGAGGATGGAGCAGGTTGTCGTCGGGGAGAGCTGAGGCAGTGGCGGACAGAGGTGCCTTGTTAAAAGGGACGCGTGTAGCGACAAAGCAATCGCTGATCGGAGAGAGAAATGAGCTGTCAGGCGCCATGATGGCCGAGCGCGGGCTTTGCTTGCCTTGCTCGGGTCGCGGCGTAAAATGGATCAAATAAATGAAAGCTTCAGCTTGTTATAGTTGTTGTAAAGTTGTCCTGTTGTCGCATAAAAGAGATAGAGGCTCGTGGCTGGTTGTAAGCAGCGGGGAATTATTGGCAAGATGATTAATGAAGGCTCCTGATGGGTCACACGTCTCTGCTCTCAACTTTTATCAATTCTCTGCGATCATCCATCCATCTCTTCATCACTGATCTGGCCCTCAGTCCAACCATCCGACACTCATTCTATTAAACCACAATTTATTCATGTTTCTATCCATCCGTGCATCTCTCCGCCATCCATCATCCATTCAGAAATCTGCACACCACCATTTCTTTGCCATCATCCATCCATCAGTCTATCATCCACCCAACAATGTGTCCATTATTTATCCCTCAATCTGTCCATCCTGCCACCCATCCAAGCATCTGTCATCGCTCAATCATTCGCCTTCAATCACTCGTCTGTTATTCAATCCGTCCACCCGCTAATCGGTCCGTTTATTAATCTACCATCCATTCAGCGCTCCGTCCGTCACATATCCATTATTTCATTATTCATCTAGCGATGAAGATAATGATTATTTATTTATTGTCCACCCAAAAATTTGTTGTTTGCATCCATTACTAACACCCGTCATTGAGGAGAGAAAGAAAACGATTCACCATAACATCCATTGATTGCGTGCCGATTGGATGTACAATCAATGCCAAAGCACCGACTCCCACACCGACTTTTATGAAGATTGATTTTAACAAGTGAGACATCATGTTAGCTGCATGGAGAGTAACACTGATGAAGAAGGCCGCGGGGCCCGATAAGGTGCCCCCCCCCCGCCTAAAAGTCTTTCGATCGTTATATGTCATGTCTTTGTTTATCGTAGTTGCTTGTCATTGCAATACTAGTCTAGCCTATACTACCGGAAACATTCCTTGTGTGTTTTACATACTTGGTCCATAAAGATGATTCTGATTAATGAGAAAAGTAAGTCAAAGTAAATCAAGTTTTGAGTGACAGACCAGAAGGCACTTCTGGCAGCTGCCGCCACAAGGGACAAACTTGCTGAAGCTGACAGATGACTTCCCAAAGTAAAAAATCAAAGCACGTTGCCCTCTGAGACCTGCCACCTGGGTTACAAGCATCTGAACCAGTCCATCATCTTGTGAGGT